CACAAAGCATTTTCTAACATTTTTATTTGAGATATTTTAAATACTTTTACATGTCAATAAATATGGAATTATGTTACCAGTTTTACTTGCTACACATCATGTCCTTGTGTAAGTGCACATTGTGTGTGTGTATGTATGCGTTTATGTGTATAAAGTCTAGCCTCATTTAACCCCTAGACTTTGAGCATTTTAGGCTAGATTGAGGTTTTCTTTCTGAAAACAGAGACAGATTAAGCTGCCGTTTGTGATGTTTACATCCCATTGCCAGAGCACCAGCTCCAGACTGGGCTGCTTTCTTCCAGTCCAGCTCCCAATTAATGTACCTGGGAAATCAGCAGAAGATAGCTCAAGTACTTAGGCCCCTGCAATTCATTTTGAAATTTATTGATTCATTAAAAAGTAACAGTAACAGACTCAGTACACGTTAATAGAACGTTATTGAAAATATTATCAGAATAAGATGTATTTAGTTTTATATATATATATATATATATATATATATATATATATATATTAGTGATTGCTGTGTATTTTTCCAAATCCGTTTACTGTCTGATTTTGGAGACAATGCAGTATAATTCTCATATCTACTTTCTGTTTTCAGTGTGTTGTTTCACAGTTATCACATAGCTTCTGGAAAATTTCACTCTAAACTCATAAGGGATAGGGAGCCAGAAGTGGAAATGACTTCTTAGTATTAAGAAAATAGTTTTGCTCTTTCAGACCCTCTGAACAACATGGGAATCAATCCTACTCATGGGTATAGAGCAGCTGCCGTAAGCGAGTGAAATTACACCCCTAACTTTCATCTCTCCCAGGTTGAGTATATGGCAGGTCCCAATATGTTAGGAAGTTTAGTTTTGTTATAAATACATTGTATGTTTCAAGAGATGAATGAAAGGGGGAAAGCTGGTTATTATAACCGGCTCAACTTGGGGCCACACCCAGGTCTACTTTACTGCAGAGCCTGTATTCTTTCTCTCGTGCCATTTTGTCTTTGACAGATTAGAAGACAGGTAGCCAAGGTACACTTTGTGATTAGCACATATTTTCTATAGCATCTTATGTAAAGGTCCTTCAGAAAGTTTGAGGAAAATGGAATTAAAAGATAATGTTTATTTTGGTGCCAAAAATATGAAACCTATGCATAGAATTTTTTCATAGTGTCGTCTTGGATTTTTGAAGACCCCTTTTAATGGTCTGAAAACTGATAATAGTACCTTTTCCTTGATAGCTGTAGAGTATTGTTTGCTTTTAAGATTTATTTATTTATTTGAAAGAATTGCACAGAGAGGGGAGAGGCAGAGAGAGGGGGGCGGGTGTCTTCCATCCACTGGTTCACTCCCCAGTTGGCTGCAATGGCTAGAGCTATGCCAGTCCAGAGCCAGGAGCTTCTTCTGGGTCTCCCTCACCGGTACAGGGGCCCAAGGACTTGGGCCATCTTTACTGCTTTCCCAGGCCATGACAGAGAGCTGGCGCAGCCAGGACTTAATCTGGGGTCCATATGGGATGGCGGCACTGCAGTCGGTGGCTTTACCTGCTACGCCACAGCGCTGGCCCCTGTAGAGTATTGTTTAGGAGATTATTGAATCTTACAGAGTTAAATATTGAGTATTGCCTTTGGGTGATTAGGATTTTCTACATTTATGTATATACAGGCAGCTCATAGATTTCTTACCATTTCAAAAATGTTAACCAAACATGTTTATAACTTTTGAAAAGTTTACATTATGTTGTCCTATAAATGTATTATGGTACAATTCTTACATGAACTAGAAAACAATATGAACATGTAATTTTCTGTTTTTTGTCAATGAAAAGAACTCAAACTGTAAAATTTGTTCTTTATAAAATGCAACTATTTTGACATTCCTTTCCAATGTAGCACAGCTCAAATTAGCATCCTATTGTTAACCGAACTTGATATCTATAGACTGAAATTCTTATTTAACTAGAAAGGACACAATTTCCAGGACTCCTGATAAAAAATGACAATAGGATAGACAATATTATATGATGAAGTGTGAGCATCCACCTTTTTCTTTCTTAAAGGCCACTGCATCTTTGTAAATTTCATGATGCATTAGTATGTCACTACACATTTAGGTCCTGAGGCACAAAATATGTTTTAGCCAGAATGCTTGCCAAGATACTAGTGCCAGAATTGAAATACTGTAATGTGTTTATTGAACAGCAAAAACATAATGAATAGAACTACAGGTTTACATTTTACTGTGAAACCACAAAGCTATCAAACAAGAAGAAGACAGAGACCTGCCAAGTTCTGTAAGTACTGCAACTGAATCAATTCTTTGACACGCACCAAGATAATTCATGATGCAAATGTCATGATATAAGTAACCTCCCTCCTTTGTTGAACTCCTCCTGGATTTCAGTGTGTTTTCTATTCTTCTGTTACCCTATGAGGTAGATGATAATCCCATATTACAGATGAAAATATAGAGGTTCAGAGAAGTAAGAAACTTAATTCAAGACACAGAGTTTGTAAATGACAGATCTTACTTTTGAGCCTATATCAGCTAAAGTGCAAAACCTATACCATTTGCATTCTAGCAAGCTGATTTCTGCAACAGTAAAAAATTGATGAGCCAAATTTACAATAAAAAATTATTCTTTGAAAGTTTGAGTTTAATCCATTGTTAAAAGGAAATTCAATCTGCATATTATTTTTTTTTGGAATTTTACTCAACACATTTTTTTAACTTTTATTTAATAAATATAAATTTCCAAAGTACAACTTTTGGATTACAGTGGATTTTCCCCCCCATAACTTCCCTCCCACCTGCAACCCTCCCATCTCCCGATCCTTCTCCCATCCCATTCACATCAAGATTCATTTTCAATTATCTTTATACACAGAAGATCAATTATATACAGAAGATCAACTAAGTAAAGATTTCAACAGTTTGCACCCATACGGAAACACAAAGTATAAAGTACTGTTTGAGTACTAGCTATACCGTTAATTCACATAGTACAACACATTAAGGACAGAGATCCTACATGGGGAGTAAGTGCACAGTGACTCCTGTTGTTGATTTAACAATTGACAGTCTTATTTATGGTGTCAGTAATCACATGAGGCTTTTGTCATGAGTTGCCAAGGCTATGGAAGCCTTTTGAGTTTGCTAATTCGGATCTTATTTAGACAAGGTCATAGTCAAAGGGGAAGTTCTCTTCTCCCTTCAGAGAAAGGTACTTCCTTCTTTGATGGCCCATTCTTTCTGCTGGGATCTTACAGAGATCTTCCATTTAGTTTTTTTTTTTTTTTTTTTTCTCTCCAGAGTGTCTTAGCTTTCCATGCCTGAAATACTCTCATGGGATTTTTAGCTGGATCCAAATGCCTTAAGGGCTGATTCTGAAGCCAGAGTGCTGTTTAGGACATCTGCCATTCTATGAGTCTGCTGTGTATCCCACTTCCCATGTTGGACTGTTCTCTGCTTTTTAATTCTATCAGTTAGTATTAGCAGACACTAGTCTTGTTTATGTGATCCCTTTCACTCTTAATCCTATCATTATGATCCATTATGAACTGAAATTGATCACTTTGATTAGTGAGATGGCATTGGTACATGCCACCTTGATGGGATTGAATTAGAATCCCCTGGCATGTTTCTAACTCTACCATTAGGGGTAAGTCCGAGTGAGCATGTGCCAAACTGTACATCTCCTCCCTCTCTTATTCCCACTCTTATAGTTAACGGGGATCACTTTTCAGTTAAATTTAAACACCTAAGAATAATTGTTAATTAAAGAGTTCAACCAATGATATTAAGTAGAACAAAAAAATACTAGGAGGGATACAGTATTAAGTTGTTCCTCAACAGTCAGGGCAAGGGCTGATCAAGTCATTGTTTCTCATAGTGTCCATTTCACTTCAACAGGTTTCCTTTTTGGTGCTCAGTTAGTTGTCATCAATCAGGGAGAACATATGATTTTGTCCCTTTGGGACTGGCTTAATTCACTCAGCATGATGTTTTCCAGATTCCTCCATTTTGTTACAAATGGCCTAATTTCACTTTTTTTTTTTACTGCTGTATAGTATTCTATAGACTACATACCCCATAATTTCTTATCCAGTCTGCTGTTGATGGGCATTTAGGTTGATTCCAGGTCTTAGCTATTGTGAATTGAGCTGCATATTATATTTTAATCAGCTTTATACACCTGATTCATTAATGCAAGCTTTCTATTTAAAAATTTTTTTGAATGCTTATTTGATAATTAAGTAGCAAAATACATTTCTATATTACAAACACTAATATTGTTTTAGCTTTGTTTTATACCACATGATCATATAATCACATTTGTTATATCAGTTTTGTGGCTCACATTGTAAAATATTAATTAGAGAAGTGGTCCAAAACGTGACACTTGGATCTCAATTGTGGGTGCTACATCTGTATAATTCATTTTTTATCCATGAAAAAAAAAAAAAACTAGTTGGTAACATATTATGCAAGTCTCAGTGCTGGGTGCAAATGATATTCTCTTTGAAAACTAATCATTGATCATAGATTATTCCTCTAATATCAGAATCTATTACATAAATATATCTTCTTGGCCTGAAGCAAGGATAGGAATTGGGAAATATGTATTTTGATTGATCAGATGTGCTAAGAACAAAGCTTTTTTTTATAATATCACAGAAAATCCTGTTCCTTAGAAACAGAAGACTAGATTCAGAAGATAAGTAACTTGTTCAAAATAACACAGTTAATAATTGGTGAAGCCAGAATTCAAATATGAGAACATCAAATTTTATAACATATGTTCATTTTACAATATGGAGATACCACCTACTGTCACTGTGCTGAGAGAGAATTTCATCTCACGTTATTTATCATTATTCTACAACAGAATAAATGTATGTTATAATAACTATTTATGTACTAAGCATCATGTAGCTATAGCTTATCTATGTACTATCAATCAATGAATTTTATTTTTTATGAGTAAAATAAAACAGATGATCTCATCTTTATTTTGAAAAGCACTTTCCAGGAGATGTTCTAGAAATAGTTTAAATATACTTCAGTCTGTCATATTTTTCACAATAGTTAACATATTTTTGAATGATTTGTATATTCTGTAATAATACCATCCTATGTTCCATCAACAGGTTACTTTAGCAATTTTAGCAATTCCATATAGCACTATTTTCATTTGTGTTAGAGATGAAGACACTAGGTTAGCAGCATTGAAAGTTGGACCAGCTTCACATGATGATGAAGTATCTAGTTCTGGCATTGAACATCAACTCTTGCATCCATAGCTTAAAAATTAAGGATGATAATTCATATTCATGTTGGTGATCTTATATCATTTCAAAAGTAGAGTCATCTTTGCATTGCCAAAAAGGACTGTAAGTGTAGTTTTCTTAAACATTTTCTTGAAGTATAGAAAATATAGATAAAATGTGGTAATGCCTTGATCCTAATTTCCCAGATTAAATAATTTTCTAAGTATTTACATCCATGTCAGATGTCCCCAGATAAGCAGAACATTGTCATTTCTCTAGAAGTCCTCTTATTCCTTCTTTAATCCATTACCTCCCTACTAAAAGAAACTCCTGTCTGAATATCTAACATGTACATTTTATTTCCACCCATGTTTGAACACTATGTAAAGGTAATTATACTGTATGTGTTCTTCTATCTTTTCCTTATTAGCTTTCCTTGGAACTAACATTAAGCTGTGGGAAGTTTATTGGGGAGCCCTCAAAATAGCATCATTTGGGGCTGGTGCCATTGCTCACTTGGTTAATCCTTTGCCTGCGGCACCGGCATCCCATGTGGGCACTGGGTTCTGGTTCCGGTGTTCCTCTTCCAGTCCAGCTCTCTGCTGTGGCCCGGGAGGGCAGTGGTGGATGGTCCAAGTGCTTGGGCCCCTGCACCTGCATGGGAGACCAGGAGAAGCACCTGGCTCCTGGCTTCGGATTGGCACAGCGCCGGCCATAGAGGCCATTTGGGGAGTGAACCAACAGAAGGAAGACCTTTCTCTCTCTCTCTCTCTCTCTCTCTCTCTCTCTCACTGTCTATAACTGTGTCAAATAAATTTAAAAAAAAAGTAAAAAAAAAAACCAGCATCATCTGAGAAGAAGTTGAGGAAGGAGGTATCATCAGAAGCTGGATTGAGGTGCAATTGCACCAAAGGGCAATCCCACACGAAACTGCAGCACTGTGTGGCCCTAGTGGGCAAGGGGCTGGCCTTGACAATCTTAGTCTTGAAGGGGTACCAGGGAGTAGCATCTACTGTGTTCCACCTGCTGGGCCCCTGGGATCAATCTGCTTCATTTAACCTCATGGGGTAGAGTCGCTGCAGGATTTGGGTTCATTTGTTTTCCAGTTTACGAAAAGAAGACTGGGGGAGTGGACTAAAGCTCTCAAAGAAGCAGTAGGCTTCTGGAGCACAACTCCTCATTTCTTTCCCCTCACCCCTCCTTTGGCACCCCTGTTTGTGCAGATTACCTAATGGAGCAATGCCTGTCTTCCTCTGGAAGCTGCTGAGCCCCTCTCAGGCTGCAGCAGTTGTCCAGTAACCATCACACTTGGCAGGGTGATGCTCCTAGGAAGTTACTGAGTCCTAAATATGTCCTTCACTGACCAATGTGAGGCACCAGCCTATCTCTTCCCAGCCATCAGAGTCCAATATCCCTGCTAGAATTTAACTTGTCTCCTCATCTGCTGGTCTCTTGATACAAGAAGCTCAGTGGCTGGTGAGAGCCTTAACTTAGTTTAATTTTTCCCTTGGTGGATCTCCTTTGGAAATGTTTCCTCTCTGAGAACCAGACCTCTAGGCCTTTGCAACCTAGGGTTTTAGTACAAGAGCATAAATTCTTCACATGGGTCATTGGGAAAAATGGCAAATGAGCTACCCTCATACCAACCCTGTGGTTCCCAATCAGTAATCACAATTCAAAATGTTTATCACAGAAATATGGTGTCTCATGTTGGCCAACTGTGTTGTCATCAACCTGACACCTCAGTGACACCTTTAAAAGGCCATCCCATCACTCAGCAAGGCTGGCAGTTTAGGAAGTAGTGTCACCTGCGATAATTCTAGTGTATCTTTAAAATAAATATGTCCCCTCCCATACTTCATTTGATGTAGGTGGTCCCCTGGTCCTATGCAATGTTCATAGGGTCTGCCTCTGGACAGTGGTGCAGTCTGACATTTGGGCAGCAAATTTCAAACTCATATATGGAATATGTGTCAATTGCAGTTTAATTTTACCTTGCCAAGTGTCTTGTCTGTTCTCTTTAAGGGATGGTGCCATGGCAAGATATCAGTGCTGGTCTCTGTTGCTAGAAAATTTTACATCTGTTTTCTGGGGCAGTAGTTATGTCAGTCTTGATGTCACAGGACACATGATATTGTACCTATGCTCAGCAGCTATCTCTGTACCATCCTGTTGGTGTGCCCTTTGTGACCCACTGAAGTGCACAATGATAGAGGCTGGCTGATGGCAGTATGAGCCAGCTATTCTGTCTGATTGGTTGTGTACCGCCTCTATTGTAGTGGCTGCTTCTGGTAGGCCATGGCAAATGATCTCAAGCTCTTCATACTTCTTGCTCACTCTCTTAGATCTTTCTGGGTACCCCTTCCCCAGAATTCCTTGTTTCTGTCTTCTAATCATTACCCTCGCAAGCCTCTGGCCAACCAGGCATGCCATACTGTCTGTAATTTGTATGCTGTATCCAACATATCAACATGGCTGAGTATTGGGGCTCTTTGAGGAAGGACTGTGGAAATTGATAACTATTTATTTGCCATGCATTGTTGGATCCTTTTTTATGAAAACTCAGTCTTTCCTTTAGTGGGCCTGGTGTGGGTACAAAAATTATTCAGTGGACAATGACTTTTTATCAGAGCAACACTTCTAAACTTCATGATCACTCATCATCAATATTTTGATCATATATCAGGGTGGGGAACATTTTTTTGCCAAGGGCCATTTGGATATTTATAACATCATTAGTAGGCTGTATAAAATTATCAATTTAAAAATTAGCCTGCTATAAATTTACTGAATTTTGTATCCTGCCTGTGAATGTCGTTTCAGGACCAGATCAAGTGAGTTCACTGGCTTTATATGGCCTACAGGCCAGATGTTCCCCACCCCTGAATAATTGAGCAATAGTCTTTTTGGCTGTCCATTTATCTTCCCACAAAGAAAGTTCAGTTTTATTAACCATCTCTATTTATTACCCTATGGATCAATAATCCCTAGTTGATATTCTACTTGCCTTTTTTTAGATAAAAATTATGCATCATTGCTATTGGGAACATTTTTCTATAACAACATCTCCTCTAGTTTGCCCTGGACTAAGAGGAGCAACTGTGTTGCTTGTGCCAATCTAACTATATGTTTCTTTCAACTTTGGTAAACCATTTGTTCTCCATGATAATGGAACATGACCACAGAGTGTGCATTATGGTCTTTGAAATCTTAGAATATATACTTTACCATGCCTACTTCTCTGTAGCTTTTGTTCTTTTGTAAAAATTATCTTCTGGAGGTCGGCGCTGTGGTGTAGCAGGTAAATCCGCTGCCTGTAGTGCCAGCATCCCATATGTGCACCGGTTCAAGTACCGGCTGCTGTGCTTCTGATCCAGGTTTCTGCTGTGGCCTGTGAAAGCAGTGAAGGTGGCCCGAGTCCTTAAGCCCCTGCACTCGTGCGGGAGAACTGGAAGAAGCTCCTGGCTCCTTGGCTTCAGATCAGTGCAGCTCTGGCCGTTGTGGCCATCTGGGTAGTGATCCAGTAGATGGAAGACCTCTCTACTCCTGCCTCTCTGTAACTCTGCCTTTCAAATAAACGATCTTAAAAAAAAAAAAAAAATCTTGGGGCCAGCACTGTGGCATAGTGGGTAGAGCTGCTGCCTGCAGTGCTAGATCCCATATGGGCGCCAGTTCGTGTCCCAGCTGCTCCACTTCCAATCCAGCTCTCTACTTTGGTCTGGGAAAGCAGTAAAAGATGGCTCAAGTCCTTGGGTCCCTACACCCACGTGGGAAGGCCTGGAAGAAGCTCCTGGCTCAGGGCTTCGGATTGGTGCAACTCCGGCCATTGCGGCCAATTGGGGAGTGAACCAGCGGATGGAAGACCTCTCTCTCTCTCTCTCTCTCTCTCTCTCTGTAACTCTGCCTTTCAAATAATTAAATCTTCAAAAAATTGTCTTCTGCATGTGGATCATTGCTTCTTTTAAGTTTTCACAGTCAACTTAGCAACATGTTAACACTGTTTTTTGAGATCCTATACAGGGAGTTATATGCTATATTGTAGGTGATCCCATCTCAGTGAGTTGTCCATTAGTGAATGTTGTATTCCTTCCCACATGACTGGGAAGCCCATTGTCTTGGGTTTGGCCATGCTTACGAGCCAGGTATCACAGTTGTTTCAGTAAACAGATTCTTTCCTCTCTTAGTACACATAGTACTTACACACCTGGGTTATGCTCTTCATGATCAAGCTATTTGACAGCCTGAAGAAGTGGGGGGCTATATTCTGATGTGGGCACCTGTAATCTGGTAGGGCAGAGGCCTTCTGTCATATTTATGCAAGGGGGTGGTGCTAATCTTTTCATAGTGAAATGGGCCACTCATTTAAGGCAAGCAGGTTCAGGGAAATCTATTAATTAAATATTTCCATATCCCAAATTTTAGGGTCCCTCTCTTTCTCAATACAGGGCTTGGCTTTGACATCTCTGACCTGCTGGGAGTGGCTGAGAAGTTCAGTTTCCTTCTTCAATGTATGACTGGAGCCTCATCATTGTCCTTTATTCTCTCTGCAAGAACTGGAGTCTTTAGGTAGGGGCACTGGGATGGTTAGTACAAGGAGACTGGGGTAGTTAGTTTTACAAGATGAACATATTCTCCTCCATTGTGCCTCCATGCCAATTAATTCTTCTCCTTACACAAGCATGCCTCATCAATAAATGTAGCTTATTCCCCTCCCCCACCCTGCCGCTAGACTGAACATGATTATGACCAATGGAATGTGACAACAGGGATGGTTATGCTCTCAGACTTTGGAGCCCATTAGAGCACTGTCAGCTTTCCTTTTACTCCTCTTGAATCCCAGTCACACTTCTTTGAGGAGCCCAAACCATATGGAGAGGTCAGATGAAGGAGAGCTGAGGTGTCTCAGTTGAAATCCTTTGTTGATCTCCTAGCAATGCAACCCACATGAATGAGCCACATTGGATGTTCCAGAACATTGGGCCTTCAGATTTTCAGATTACTCTAATCAGTATCACATGGAGAAGAAAAGTTGCCTACTGAATGCAGTCAACCCACAGATCTTGAGAAATAGTAAGTCTTTTTTTTTTTTTTTTAAGATTTTATTTATGGGGCCGGCGGGGTGGCACAGTAGGTTGATCCTCTGCCTGTGGTGCCAGCATCCCATATGGACGCCAGTTCTAGTCCTGGCTGCTCCTATTCCAATCCAGCTCTCTGCTTTGGCTTGGGATAGCAGTAGAAGATGGCCCAAGTCGCTGGGCCCCTGCACCCGCATGGGAGACTGGGAAGAAGCTCCTGGCTTCTGGCTTCTTATCGGCCCAGCTCTGGCCATTGCAGCCATCTGGGGAATGACCCAACGGAAGGAAGACCTTTCTGTCTCATTCTGCTCACTGTAACTCTACCTCTCAAATAAATAAAATCTTTTCTACTGCTATCCCAGGCCAAAGCAGAGAGCTGGATGGGAAGAGGAACAGCCGGGACTAGAACCAACATCCATATGAGATGCTGGTGCTGCAGGCAGAGGATGAACCTGCGCCACAGCACCAGTCCCGGCCCAGGCATTTATTATAAAACCACCTATACTTTAAGGGTTTTATTATAGATTTGTATGATCTTACTGAACAGTAGGTTACTTGACAACACTTAAGTTTGCCTCCATACCCCTAAAATTTACTACAACAACTGCTCTAGAAGGATTGCACAACTGATTTCGATTTAGTGTCTGTGGAGTACTTCAGATACATGAATGAGTGTAGTTGTTTGCCTTGGATCAAAGAACTACTAAGAAGCACTGACAAGGGGGTTAGCCTTGCCTTGTGACAGGGGTTAAGTCACTGCCTGCAGCACCAGCATCCTTATTTGCACTGGTTCATTCACGGCTGTTCTACTTCATATCGAGCTCACCGCAAATGAGTGTGAGGAGACAGAAGTAGATGACCCAAGTACTTGGGCACCTGCACTTATGTGGAATACACAGGTGGAGTTCCAGGGTCCTTGCCTCAGCCTGGTCCTCGCCTGGACCAGACCTGGAAGTCACCAGCCATTTAGAGAAGGAACCGGCAGATGGATTGCATTGCTTCCTTTCTACTTATGAAGAAACAGGGCCAGTGATGGGTATCTTTTGCACAGCAATTGAATTCAGAATTCAGAAAGTATAATTCTAAATCCCTTTTTTTTTCTTATCTAGTTTTTATTCAGCTGCAACTCATTTATTTGGTTCATGAAAAAGCCGTCTCTTTCTCCTTTAAGTAAAAAACTTGGGCAGTCAAATAGTACCTCTGGGTGTCTAGAATTAAAAGTCCTTTCACCCCTAATTTCCTTGTTTCTTACTGCAGATACTTCTTTTTCACTTTTAACTAAATTGTGTTTTGCTCATTCTTTTTTTTCTGGTTGGTAAAATTTGTATTGCTAAAGTGGGATTAAACTTAACTGTTAATTGTTTTGAGGCTAGAATTGCATGGAGAAAGCCACCTTCTTACATAAAGTGAATCGGTTTCAGCAACTCACATGAAACTAACAATGTGACGGGAAAGTAAAATTTTAAAAGTAAAGATTCTGATGATCATAGGATTGTCAACTTCTTTGAAGATGCAAGACACCACAGAAGTTGCTTTTTATTTAAATCACCTACACAAATCATCATCACAGAAATAAGTTTATCCAGTTTTCTACTGGTTTGCCTTTTTTTAAAAATTTAATTTGGATTGATTTTTGATAGATTCAATGTGATTAGTAGATATAATTCTAAGAACATAATGATATTCCCTCTCTCCCCATCTTTCCCTCCCACCGTTCTTCCTTCCTTTTTTTTTAAGATTTATTTTATTTATTTGAATGGCAGATTTACAGAGAAGAACACACACACACACACACAGAGAAAGAGATTCACTTCTCAAATGGCTGTAATGGCCTGGGCCGGGCCAGGCCAAGCCAGAGCTAGGAACCAGGAGCTTCTTCCCGTTGGAGGGGAGTTAGATCGGAAGTGGAGCAGCTGAACTGGAACAGGTGTCAGCATGGAATGCTGGTATTGCAGGTGGCAGCTTAACCCTTTATGCCACAATGCTGTCTCCTCTAAGTTTTAAGACTACATATTTTAAATTTACATTACAGTAAAAAGGGCTAGTACTTTACCAAATAAGTTTAACAAATAAAAAAGCAAGAAGACCCTAATTTAGTAGGAATATAGATGATGGAAAAATCATCACTTCACCCATATACAGTAAATTTTAAAGTAATCACAGATCACTAAAATAATTTTATATATAACATTAAATTAAAACTATAGTTTTATAGTACACCATTCTCTTTATTTTAAAGATTTATTTATTTGAAAGGCAAAGTTAGAGAGAGAGCAAGGTCTTCCATCTGCTGGTTCACTCTCCAAATGACCGCAATGGGAGCCGGAGCTGAGCTGATCTGAAGCTGGAAGTGAGAGATTCCTCCGGGTTTCCCATGTGGGTATAGTGGCCCAAAGATTTGGATCATCTGCTGCTGCTTTTCCAGCCACATTAGCAGAGAGTTTATTGGAAGTGGAGCAGCCAGGACATGAACTGGTGCTCAAATGGGCCCAGCTTTACCTGCTGTGGCACAGTGCTGGTCCCATAGTACAACATTCTTAACCATTGGCTTTTGGAAAGGTATAAAACAAAGTTTTCCAAAACTATATTTGCAGCAATACTGATAAACACAGACCTTTTTTTTTTCCTTTTTTTAAAATTATTAAATAGCTCCCACATAGAAGGGAGTTATTCAGTTAATATGATATCCTCGAGTTGTGTTCATTTTGCTGCAAATGGTAGAATTTCATTCTTTTTTTTTATAGCTGAATAATATTCCATTGTATATGTACCATGTTGTTTTGTTATGAGGTCACTAATTTTAATTATAGTTCCAATTGTAAAATTCATTTCTATTTCAAGATCAGTTGGTCTCCAAATCTCTCTACGATGCTTGTTTACTAGGCACCTGCTAAACTTACCTCTTACTGGATTGCTAGCTTCCTCGCCTAAGCGGCTTGATGGCTTCCATCTAATTCATTAATGCTCTAACATTCTGTGCTAGTTCTGTTGTGCTTCTGCTTCTGCTAACCCTCTGCCTCTTTCCCCACCTGGTGAAAAGATGCCCATCTCTTCCTACTGGCATTGAACTTGGACATTCATCGAACCTCTGCCAACCTCAGAGTTCTCAGATGTAAAGGCCAACAGTCCCTCTTCTGCCTCACAGAGGAAACGGTGGGCACTAAAGCACTTTTAGAATCTTTAAGACTTCGTGTCAAATGGGCTAATGTGTCATGGGGTCTCAGTCTGCTTTGTGGATACAACACAGCAAATGTCACATCCTGTCTCAGGGTAGTCTCTTGAGTGTTCAAAGCCCCACTCAGGCCTCTAGGTTTTCTCTCTTATCAACTCTTTCTCTTCTAAGCTGAGCTTCTTCAGTCTGTCCACCTGCTCCTAAGGATGATACTTACTGCTGTTGTACTAGTTCTAGTTAATGCTCCTGTGAGCAGGGGCACTTTAGCTGACTGTTTTATTCTCTTCAACTCTCAGGACAAGTCCTTTTATATGGGGCAACCTCGGGATGTGATTGTTTTAATTTTTCAACACTCTGACACCCTTCCTTTGTGGTCCCGCTATTCGTTAAGGCTAGTTTGGGTTCCCTGTTAGTGACACCATTGATTCTAGTGTTTTATGTGAATTCACTGGACCCAGCTTCTGTCTGGAGATAGTCTTCTAAACACAGAAGACAAATCAGCTGAATGAGAAACAGTGAAAGCCACATTGTGTGAGGTGTGAGAATGTAGAAGGTCAGTTGGGGGCATGACAGGATGCCCCATATCCCCTGCCATCATCTAGTTTGTCATTATGTGTTTTTTAGCTCTCAGAAGACAACAGACTTTCTGAGAAGGAAAGGAAGATTGGCATTTTGAGAAAAGATTTGTTTGGTTGCTGTCTGAATAGTGCATGTCACAGGGCTGGACTTCAGGAAATATGAGTTTCTCTTCCTCCTTTTCCCTCACCATTAATTATGAATGTTTCTAGGTGGTGTCCAGATTACAGAAACTATCCAGACAAAATGATCTAAGACATGTTGTAAATCTGTCATCCGTGTTGTGTTGATATATGTTATTCTACCAGGAAGAAATAAACCAGCGCATTGCCCTCTGCTTTAGGTTGCTTGCAGAATAGCTACAGCGCTCACCGCACTGCTTCCACACAGCCTTGTTCCAGGTGCTGATGTAAATCCAGTTTTCAGTTGTAGTTTATAATTGCTTGGAGACTCCCTGTTCTTTTTCAACCACTAACTGAGCCAAGTGCTCAAACCTCGCTTGTGAATGTGAATGTTTTTCCCACTGTGCGTAATTGAATGTATTTAACCTTAAATAGATCTCTGGTATCTTGTTCTTTATGCAGTGAAAGAACCATTCTCCACCAAGTTTATTTTCTCAAAAACTGGTAGGATACATAGTTTGTATTTATAACATTTACAACATCATCAGAGGGCATCACAGGAAGGCATGGGGAATAGTCTGTTTTCATTTTTACTTTAATTTTAATTTTTAACAGATTCAGTATGTTTTGTAGATACAGCACTAAGAACATAATGATGTTCCCTCTCTTCCTCCCTCCCTCCTGCCCCCCCCCGCCCTCCTTACCTCCTTCCTTCTACTTTTCTTTGTCTTTTTTTTTTGTTTTTAAGATAGTATATTTTAAATTTACATTACAGTAAAAAGGCTTATAATACTTCACTGAATAAAAAGTTTAATAAGTAAAATGCAAAAAGACCCTACTTTAGTGGGAATACAGACAATGGCTATAAACAAAAATTAAATGACCATTTCACCCATATACAATTGTTTTTGTCAATTATTCATTCATTATTTATTCAGTAGTCTTTTTTTGATTGTTTGATTTTGTCTTCCAAACAGAATATAGATACCTCATACATTTGTCCCCTCTAAACCACATAAGAATGTTTCTCACTGCTGTCAAAATCTTTGGTGACTGTACTATATTTGCTAGTCCCTTCTGATTTTCTGCATCTTCTGATTTAGTAGCATTTCATTGTTCATTGAA